TTAGCAGTTTTCAAAAATAAATTTATAATAAACTTAAAATAATAAAAAAATATTAAATATATATAAACGTATATTAATTATCTGTAATATTGAAATAACTGTCTTTTTTTTTGTTTTTTTAATGTAAATTACCTAAATTTTCCATAATTAATATTATAGCTTACGAACACATATTTAAATCGAATTCAATATTTGATTTCAATAAGTATTAACAATTTATGTACACATAAATATATAATTATATATATATATATATATATATATATATATAATTAGAATGGTTTATTGATCCAAAACATCATTATCTATATTAATATTTAATAACGTAAATTAGTACGAGCTAATGTTTATATTACGTAATATATTAAAAAGAAATATATTTATACGTTAAAAAATTATTAATATAGAATTGAATTTTCTCAATAATTAATTTTAAATTTTTCATTGGAAGAAAAAAGGAAACAAAATTTAAAAAAAAAACAGAATTTATTTAATGTTATGTCTTCTTTAATTTCAATAATATAATTTAGACGTATTAATTCTAAATAAATTTGTTTGAGATTAATTAATAATAAATTAATATCGATATTAAACAATACTCAATATACTCTCTATTATAGCATAACTTGGTTTCTTCTTTTTGCCAAGAAGAATTGATTTCTGGTCGGTTACGATAGATATTTGTGTTATTTAAAGTAATTTTCTTCAATTGTTATGAAGTTCATTGATTGTTTTAAACTTATTATTAGATTAATGTCAAGGTCGAAACAATTTAAAATAATATGTAATTATTTTTTTAACTCATTGAGCAACTTCAAATGCATATTACACACAGCCTTACTATTAATATAATCGCTGTAACGTATATGTCATATATTTAAATTATATTTGAATTTCTTTTTATTATTCAGTTATTTGACAATCATAATTTGCAAGATTAAGATTAAAGTAGAGTGGAAAAATCACTATCATCGATTCTGTCGAATATAATATTGTTTGTTTTATTTGATATTTAGGTAAAAATTATATCTTAGTTATTAATAATAATATCTATTATTCTTATGGTTTAATCTTTCACATTTCATTTATATCAAATTTATTTTTTTCAAAAATTATTTTACCTAATGTGCAATCTATCTAATTTACTGAATATTTTAATTTTTAATTTTATAGAATTCTGACAGTGCTATAGTCTTTGACCACTAAAATTTTAAATATTTTTCAACTCCATAATATAAATAAATTTTTTTATTGTAAATGTAACAACAAATATATATTTTAATACAAAATAATTGTTTTTGAAAATTTTGATATTATAGTAATTTCAATATAATAATTAAGAAAAATATTATTAATCACACAATTAGTTGAAATGTAAATAAAAATATCTCTATTAAAAATTTCTTATTATACAGGTACAAAGACAAAATTAATAAAAAAATTCAATTGATTTAATAATGCATAACTTTTACTTTATTATTATATTTTGAATAAAATCTATATTAGGCAATCCGCTTTTTTAGAATTTTATTTTTTGGCAAATATTTGAATTTATTCCTTATTTCATAAGCTACTTTTTATAATTTAACATTCGTTATTTTTAGAAAAAACATGTTTTTCATACATTATTAATCTAAAGTGATTGTAAAAATCCTGCAAAATTTCAAAAATTTAATTTAATAATAAGTTAAATGAGCAAACAAAGTTAGTTTTTAATCAAAATTCAAACATACATAAAAATAGTCATTACACGTGATTTTTTTTTTTAACATAATAGGCATAAAAAACTTAAGTATCGATTCAATTATATTAGATTTTATAAAATAATAGTAAATATTTTATATCGTTGAAACATTTGAGAAAAGTTTAAAAAAAATATTTTTGTTTTAAAAATCTTAATTAACTTGTTTTTTTTTTTATTGACAAAACTTTTCTCACGTTCTTGAAAACAACGTGGCAAAGTTCAAAACGAGTATAACAAACGAATATGTATAATCTCATAAAAATAATGATTGTTTACCTAATTCTTATTAATTAATAATTAATATAATAGAAATTATATTAAATAATAAGTATAAATATATTAAATATTTAAAATATAAATAATAAATTGTTTATTGTACTTGATTATTATTTCTAGAAATATGCATTAGACATTTGTCTTTTAATAAAACACGTAACATTTTGAATGATGATTTAAAAGTATTTTTTATTTATGTCTATCTTATATTTATTTATAGATGGATTATTACATTTAGCAGTTCAAAAACATCGATTATTAATTATTCTAATTTGTAAATTATATACTTATTTCTATTAAATTTTCTTTATAGATGCTTCTTAAAAACTTATATTCTATAGTATTATCATGGTGGTTTATTTTAACCGAAATCTTAAAGTTTGCGCAAGTTGGTGCAAAATTATTAATTAATAATTCACACGAGTTTTACGTATTTTTATTTCATGAATAAACAATACATATTTTTAATCTATTATTCATAAAGTTTCATTTGAAAGTAAGAATTATATATATATATATATATATATATATATATATATATATATATATTTATATATTTTATATATTTTTTTTTATTTAATGTTTTTAATAAGCATATTATTGTAATTGATACAATGGTAAAATTCTTTTGTATGGTGTAAATCTTTTATTTTATGCTGCAACTGGAAAATATTGTGTCGCGCAATAAAAATATTTTTTCCGAATGCCGTGTTTGTCAATTACGCCAGTAGGATTAATTTTTGTCTGACAAAATTTTCCAAATATAATTTTATACTGAATAATATGATTGGAATTTATTATAGTCATTATATTATATTCTTTTCGTAAGATTGAAAACTAATAGTAAGACTAATATAATAATAAGACTAATCGAGGCTTTAAATTACGACAGTTTTTGCACGTTTAGAACGGATTTTAAGCAAAATGAAGATATGGTTTTTAATTATTAATGAAGTATATATTGTTACTTTTAGCAAAATTTTATTGAAAAATAGTAAGAAAAAGTACTAAAATAAAAGTACACGATATTAACAGAGAAGAAGAAGGTCAACATATATCGAACATACAGGACCTTTTAAATCAATAATCAAATTTTAATCAAATATTAATTGTTTGATTATAATATTTATAAACAATTGGCATGACAATGTTAAACAGACACAGTAGTATATAATATTGAAATATTTGTTAAGCGTAAAACAGATTTACAATTAATTCAAAATTAATTATTACGGTATGCGTATAATTAATAGCAATACGATATAAGCATATCATTGTTGTTAATCGAAGACTTTGTTTGCCAATAATCAATTCATATTGATAGAGACTACAAGTATATTATATAGCGGGAAGAACATTTTGCAGTCATAATATTAATACCGCTACTTGAAAAACATACGTGTAGCCTGATTTTTATTTATGTTAAATTGTAATCAAAGAGTATTAAACAAACTTAAAAAGCTAGTGACAACAATGGATTATCTAAAAAAAAAAAAAAAAAAAAAAAAAAAAAAAAAAAGTTAAAATCTTCTTTTAAAATTAGAATAATAAATCAGGTCGAAATATAATTTTCCGTTTTCCGATAAACGATTTATTACGGATTAATACTCATTGAAAATTCGTGTAATATGTGCAAGCAGCCGAGGCGAAAATCCAAAGTATTGTTTGCTAATTAGAATACAAACACCGGGTCATCGTGGGGATTCACATGTCAAAGACTCGTCAGCAAAAATTCTTACGAATCGTATTTCTCGAGTCGAGAGCATTTATGATTTTTACATTGTAAAGGCTCGGAAAATGGATATTACTTAAGTAATCTCCCTTTACGAATACATAGCATCCAGATAATAATTTTACTTTAAATAATGCTTTTTCATCGCAAGCTAAATTCTTGGGACAATTCTTTCTGGAGATAATCCTTATTCAGCAGAAGGCTCGTTTTGTTCAATGTGAAAAATATTTAAATAGAAGCTCGTATTAACACTCAACTATTTCCCATAATGTTTAATTATATTATATGAAAGCCAAAAGCATCGCATATAAATTTACATTATTAATTTACAATATGCTTACACAAGTGTATATTACGCATATAATACATAATATAGTTTATATTTTTTGAAGATATTTAATCAATATTTCCGAGTATTTTGTATATAAAATAATTTCAAATAAATGAATTCCAAAACGTAATCTTATTTTATGTAAAAATAATATAAGCTCTTATATTTATTTACAAATACAATGGAAAGTATATTAAATAAGTATTATATTAAAGATTGAATTGGATGATAAATATTTTAAAAATGATTTCGGCATCGTAGATATTATTCGACTTGTATGTTTCGTTCGACTGGTATGATTTTTCGTACTTGCGCGCGCGTGTGTTATATGATATACTCACTACGATATGTAAACTAAACTTTTTCGCTAATAAAAGAAACTCACTCTTGCTTTTATTATTTTCAATTATATACATTTATTGTATATTTTAAGGATTAAGTTTATATTATATCCCTGTGCAAACATAGCACTATCAATAAATATAATTGATATATTTACAAACCGAGATTAAGCACCTGAGATTTAAGTATACGCGTGTCTTGTTGTCATCTGATAACGTCACCTCGGTAAACTATCGAAGGAAGCTCTAATCGGCAATTCCGTATAAAGGAAATATTATATACAAGTTATGAATATCAATAATCTGGCAAAGTGAAATGAATGAAAGTAATGACAAAAAATTAGGGGGAAACAAAAATTTATGAAAAAATTGACGAAGGACGCAGGCCTTTTACATATACTTTCGTTCTTTCTAACCGAAGCTCGGAAGAAACTGGACGAAGAAACGATCGTAAGCTGAGCGAGATCGAGGCGCATAATAGAGACACGATCGCGCAAATCAGCAAGCAATAACGATAACAATAGGTGACTAGCGACAGCCAAGTTCGAATTGGGTGGGAGGATCACATAGCTTCGACAGTTATAAAAGGCCCGATAGGAGCGAAATCCGAATAGTCCGGTGGTGGTTCGTCGGGTGGCAATCATCATTTTGTGTTTCTGAGCGTAAGTGCATAATCGTGCGATGGGACAGTGACGTAGCTGGGTGCTAAGGGCGAGCTAATTTTTCTTCTTTTCTTCTTCTTTTTTTCTTCTTCTTTTTATCATTTTAATTTTTTCCGGATGTGAGACGCAAGTATGTGATGTATCAACAACGAGCCGAATTAAGCCGCAATGTCCGTCGTACTGTGACATCGTTACTCTTATTAACGAATTTTTTTCTTCTTCGTTTATTTAACCGAGTGAACGTTGGCAGCTTTGAACCATACCTTCGCTTTCAGTGAAAATTCATCTTTTAATTACTTGATTATTATTAAAGTACAATAAAATCCTTATGATTCGATGTATCCCCCCCCCCCCCCCCCCCCCCCCCCAAAATAATCGTTGATGATAATAATTACTTGAATTTAGCAATATTATTTGAAAGTTTATTATATTAATTTTTTCGAATGCCACTGAATCACGACGCTTAGACTGCAATTATAATGTATCGTGGGGAGCGTTATATAGAGTTATCGAGCTTATTTCCAAGTTAGTCGAATCAATCGATGTTATATTTGTAAATATTCGATATCCCAAGCGTCTTTGTCAACATTTCCGGATACAAGCAAATAACGTCTAATCAACTCGGCTCTGCGACAAATTCAGCTTCTTGCCAAAATAATCGCTCCCTCAAACGTAAGGAATTGAAATGTTAATTATACGATTAACTTTGCACCGAATACAAATCGCAAACATCCAAACATTTTACAATCTCCTCTCGTGTATTTAATTCGAGATATTCAGGAGCCGCCGCGTCTCGCCCTTAATTGTCCAAAATCCCATCGATGCTCTTGCGCTCAACAATTTTCACGGCTTTCAAATTTATGTATAGGGGCCGTCGAGTTGTTGCAGGCTAGCTAAACGCAGCAATATGTCGGCAGCCGGTCCGGAAATTATCACTGGATCAGTGGCGGCGGTGTCCGCCAGCGGATTCTCGGCCAGCAGCGTCTTTTTCACCCTCCTGGTGCCCGCCCTCGTTCTATACTATGTATATTTCAGGATTTCCCGTCGACATATGATCGAGCTCGCCGAGCATATACCTGGACCCAAAGGTTTACCGTTCATCGGCAACGCTCACGAGTTCATGGGAAGTCCTGACAGTAAGTATGAAATTATGAGATTTAACCGATAGCCACGCCACGTAATGGCACATCTGCATTGGCCATTTGGACTTTTACTCCAAGCTACTGATTTTTGTAGCGATCTTTCGCAATGTCATTCAAAGGTCGTCCGAGTTTGAGCAAGTGATCAAGGTTTGGATTGGACCTAAACTCATCGTATTCCTCGTTGACCCACGAGATGTCGAGGTCATTCTCTCAAGTCACGTATACATCGACAAATCCACCGAATATCGATTCTTCCAGCCTTGGTTGGGCGACGGTCTTCTCATTTCTACCGGTACGTACACCGCAATTGTCAAATTCTTTTTGTTTTTTTTTTTTTTTGTTTTTTAAACAGTCAATGCTGGCATAATCATTCGATAAAACTGCGTGCACTTTGCGAAGAAGCAAATTTTTCCCCAATATTTCGTTCGTTGGCTTATCATACGGGGAAACTGACAACTTAATTCCAGAAGCAAAATGTAAACAAAGAGTTGGGTCATAAATAGAGAAAGGAGATGAGGGTGAGGGTGAGGGTGAGGGGGGGGGGAGGTGTCTGGAAACCGCGATTACCGTAGAGTCGTGGACGAAATTGCGCAAAACTAATTAGTTCGAAACAAATCGGTCGATGAGTAACTAAAACTTTTAAATGTGGGAGGACTAGAGCTTGGAAAATTACTCGCTAATCACTGATATTCGGGTGCTTTCTCTCGACAATGCGCAAATGCATTGATAGAATTGAAAATTTAATTCCCGGTAACTCGAGTCTACTTCCTCTCAATGGGATTTCCCTCTGTTACCATTCCTCCGTACTTGCTTTATAATAAATGTGACCTTACAATAATTACTAAAAGCAAATAATTTTCTTCCTTTTTTTCTTCATATTTTTATCATTGAAACATTTATTGCTTCTCTCAAACTAAATTAAACTTTATTATTAGCAAATACTTGTTAACGATGACTTTATATAAATGGCGCCTATTGAACTATTAAAATTATTTATTTAATTTTGATAAGAGATAATAATTTAAATAACCATTAAATTTTAGACTATTACCCTTTAGCTTTCGCGTATTTTATTTGAAACAACATATCTTTAATACTTGTCTAGATGTACTTTATTTTATAAAAACTTAATGTTTACGTAAAGAAGTAAAGTATAAAGGATTAATTATCATTAAAATACAGGTTTTGTTTTGTTATACCGAATAAGTCGAACTAAGTCATGAAGAGATAAAATCAGAAGTTTAAAAAAAAAAAATTAATTTTTTATGGAACCCACACGTCAGTCACAATGATTCAATTTTTCAAATTTTTCATTATGACCTTTTAAAACTTGCGTATCAATGTCTAGACATTGGCATACGTATTTGAATAATCTATAGATTGGCTTTCACTTTTAAAATCCATCACAATGTTGATGAACAATTATTTTATAAAGTATCTAATAAAACTCAGCACGTATGAATTTAAAAGATTTTTACAGTAAAGAATGAAAATTAAAGTATAAAGCAATTTTAAGTTCTAAGGAATAGTCGTTTATGCAAAAAATTCTATATATATATATATATAAACTTTAAAAGTAACAGCCATAAAACTTCCTTTAAAGCTTAATAACCGACAAATGAAGCCGAATGAAAGTTTCTTTTACGAACACTTTCATTCGTCTATTGTACTTGCAAAACAAAAATAATGTTCCACACGAACACGCTCTTTACATAAAGCATCGCTCAAAAGTTGTAAATCTCAATGAAAATCGTTTATAAGAAAAGACAATATTGTGGATGAAGAATCATTAAAACAAAAAAGTCTGGTTGATGTCGCAGGTCAAAAATGGCGTGCTCATCGCAAATTGATTGCCCCTACTTTCCATCTCAATGTTCTTAAGAGTTTTATCGACCTCTTCAATGCCAACTCGCGTGCCGTCGTCGAGAAATTGCGCATGGAGGAAGGCAAGGAATTTGACTGCCATGATTACATGTCCGAGACAACGGTTGAGATACTCCTCGAGACCGCCATGGGGGTATCCAAAAGTACCCAGGACCGCAGTGGTTTCGAGTATGCCATGGCCGTCATGAAGTGAGTCCGTTTTATATTACTATACAATTTAAAGTTCCGCATCTATTTATCCCAGCGATTTGTTTCTTCGCTTTTTTATCGTTTTCAGCACTCGGTTAATTTCACGGTTGCGTAGAACTAAACGTTTAATTGAAAAACAAATAATACGAAAATTCGTTAATTAAATTATGTGAATATAAACGAATTCAAAACAACATAATACATATATTGCCAAGTTTATCTATGCTCTTACCAAACAATGAGTTTTTTAAAAATAAGGAATTATATATATATATATATATATATATATATATCTTTTAATATTGATGAAGCATTGTTTTATTGTTGAAAAGTTGTCGATTGCACTTTTCAAAGTATAATTTATCCTTAGATGGAATATATAATAAGAATAATACGAAAATTAATGAAAATTTATTATTCTTTAATAAATATTAATAATTACGTACCTTAGCATTTTTCTTCTTCCACTAGTTGTACATTTCTTTATTCAATTTACCTTGTACATAAAATCTCTAACGTTTCATAATTTATCTAGAATTTTTCAAAAACATAAAAATGATCAAATAAATTTTCATAAAACAATAAAATAAACTGTGCTAGATTTTTTCAAAATTAATACATTAAAATTTCAAATCTAATTGACCAAGCATATTGGATCGATGCTTGTAACTTTATTTTAAAAGCTCATATGATATTTAACTGAAAATAATATAGACATTTTTTAACATACAATTGATTCGCAATTATCATAAAATATTGTTTACAATACACTAAAGAATGTGTGACATACTTCATCTTCGTCACACTCGCATTTGGTTGAGGCCAGATTGGCTGTTCGGTCTAACAAAATACGGCAAGGAGCAAATTCGCTTATTGGACATTATCCATGGACTCACGAAAAAGGTTATCGCTCGCAAGAAGGAAGACTACAAGAGCGGAAAGCGCAATATCATCGACACCTCTGCGGCCAAGGATGCGACAACAAAGGTAAAGGGCATTCCTCGATTTCGCGGTATTTCGCGGACGACGTCAATTGACGACACCAACGATACGAATCCATTCATATTGCGTTCGATGTCGCAATTCGAAGCATTAGACCAGTGACACAAGGTCACCGGGGCTGTGGTCGGCAGCGAATTTTATCAATGGGCTCGTCTATTCCTTTCAGAATACAAGTGTCGATGGACTTTCCTTTGGTCAGTCGGTTGGCCTAAAAGACGACCTGGACGTTGATGATAATGACGTCGGCGAGAAGAAAAGACAGGCATTCCTTGATCTGCTGGTCGAATCTAGTCAGAATGGTCTCGTATTAACGGACAACGAGGTCAAGGAACAAGTAGACACAATCATGTTTGAGGTACATCGTTAAATTTCCAAGCATATCCGGCGAAGCATTGACTTTGAATCAACTTGGTTAGCTGCTCTCCTTTAAAAATTAACGCGCAAGCTCGACTGTGTCCTTACGCATTGCCGACTGTTAGGCTTGTAAATTTCGTTGAAAAAAAAAAAAAAAAAAAAAAAAAAAAAAAAAAAATCAGCATAATTAACAAATGTAATTTAAATTTTTAATTAATGTGGCAACTAAAGGGGCACGATACTACGGCTGCCGGGTCCAGCTTTTTCTTATCGATGATGGGTTGTCACCCAGAAATCCAAGAGAGAGTCATCCAGGAATTGGACGAAATATTCGGAGATAGTGATAGACCGGCCACATTCCAAGATACCCTGGAAATGAAATACTTGGAGAGATGTATGATGGAGACTCTTCGTATGTATCCACCAGTGCCCATCATTGCCCGTCAAATCAAGACAGACTTGAAGCTCGGTAAGTACAACAATGTTTTGCTATTACATTATTTATAAGATTACTGTCTTTTAAATGCTATTGATTTTATAATTAATTATTAGTCTGTTACGTTGGTGCTGAGTCTTGTTGAGAAAGAAAACTTAAAATTGTAAAAAGAAAAAGAAAAAAAGAAAAGAAAAAGGTAAATAAAAAATCTTACAAATTACAATTCGAGTTTGTTAAAAATAAAAACAAAAAACAAAAAACAAAAATAAAAAAAGAAAAGAAAAGAAAAGAAATGAGAAATTTCTAAATGAATTTCCATACGAATATAAGCAAACTTTAAAGCACTGACAAAAAAAACTTGTGATTAAAATTAATGTATTATAGGCAATTTAAGTAATAACGTTAAATCGCATAGATGGTATTGTCTTTTTTCTTTTGTATGTATGTATGTGTATATTGATATTGGAATTCAACGAAAGCAGACTGTTTGATCAATGTAACAGGAATTCATATAATTTCACAAATATTACATCAATTATAATTGCAGGTATAAATAAGTGTTCGCGTAATATTTGATTGGTCGAACTATTGGTAGTATTATGTGAATTTCGTATTACGTAATCCAAGCTCAAATGTTTCCGTTTTAAAATGTAAAAATATTCTATCGTTAAATAATCACGTTATAAGTGAGCAAGCATGATTAATATTATTGTAAGAACAACATTAGTAATAATAATAATAATAATAATAATAATAATAACTAATCGAATGAGAAAATAAAGCACACAAATAAACAAAGAGGTCGAGTGAGAAATGAATATTGGTCGATGCTTACTTAGCCTCGGGCGACTACACCGTTCCCGCGGGCTGCACCGTTGTTGTGGCAACGTTCAAAGTTCACCGCCAGCCATACATCTATCCGAATCCGGATGTCTTTGACCCGGATAATTTCTTACCTGAGAAAACGGCCAATCGGCACTACTACGCCTTCATTCCGTTCTCGGCGGGTCCGCGGAGTTGCGTTGGTCGCAAATACGCCATGCTCAAGCTCAAGATCCTACTGTCGACGATTCTCCGTAACTACCGTGTCCGGTCGACCATCAAGGAGGAGGACTTCAGGCTTCAAGCGGACATAATCTTGAAGCGCGCCGAGGGCTTCAAGGTGAAGCTCGAGCCCAGGAAGAAGGGCTCAGGTGTGAAGGTTTGAGGGTTACGACCGTCCTCGTCTACATTGACGAGCCGTTCCAAGGAACACACTATTTAAATGTTAATGAACAAAGTATACGCATAAAGTACATGTTGCTCGAGAATTCGCGCGATGTTATATTAATGTTTGTCCTTTGGGGAGTAACGCACCTTGCTCGTTTCTGCTAATTATTGATGTTCTTTTCTTTTTCGCGTCAACATTTCCTAACAATGTTGTTTATTAGCTCTTCGTGCGACAGTTGCGAAGAACTCGTTGAAATTATATTTCGATAATTGAATTTCGATGCACGAGCACCTCGGATACGATCAAGTTATAGTTTTTCATTTTTTTTTTTTTTTTAAATAAAATAGCTAAATAATAGTTATGTATTAATATACGTATGTGTAGATGTATATATTTCTTTCTCTTTCTCCCTCTTTATCTCTCTCTCCCTCCCTCCCTCCCACCATCTCTCTCTCTCTCTCTCTCTCTCCCTCTATATATATATATATATATATATATATTTGTTACAATTCGATCGATACAATCCGTGAAACGTGCATGAATGAATATTACATGTAGAAACAATTATATATGACATTTGAAAACTAAGAAATTGTTCGTCATTTTGATTATGTACAGGTAGTTACTTCGTAATAAATTCTACAGTAAATCTACTGTAAAATTGTTTACCGATTTATTTAATTACTCCCTTGCATCTAATAAAATATTTCAATAACATAATACTATGTCATAGTTATATTATATGATGATACTTTATTATGAGACTACAAAATAACATTTTTATGAAAAACATAAATCAACGATTGATAAATGAGCTTAATATCTGACTTTCTTAAAAAATTAAATTTAAATTACTATTAAGTAAATATTTTAATAACTAAATAAATATTAAACTATATTAAGATTTACAAAATATAAGACAAGTGTGCCTTTTGTCGTTTGAAAAGCTTTAAATTAACGATATATGGATTGAAACGATTATATTTTCTTATAATTGTGCACGTTTATTAATTTCAGAATGAATTAAAAAATTATAAAGCTGTTAATTAATAACTTTACAATGTAAAAACTGTAATTATTTTCACCGAATTGTAATTAAAATTTTTATTCTTTATTTGAAATTGTACGACGTTCACTTATAATTTATATTATTTTCATTACAAAATATCTGAATTTTAAATTCAGATAAATAAAAAGACGTGCAAACGCAGTAAATAAAAATGAACAAGACATTTCTAAAAATGTATTAGCTAGTGTTTACAATAAAAATTAAAAAATGAAAAGTATTTACAAAAAATTGTTTAAATATAAGATTTTTGTTTTGTATTGTAATTAATAAATAATTCAATTGTATGTCAATTGTATTAATTGTATAAGTCCGAACTAATATTACAAATGTTTTCGCATTTTTTTATTTCCCTTTGTGATTATATATATGTATATGCATATTAGATAATTCGAAACACATTCGGTAACGAAGCAGTATTCAGGATTAATATTAATTAAATTAAATAAGAAAACGAAATTATCAAGCCTTGTCGAATGAACTGTTAATTTCCCCATTAAAATATGACGAGCACAAAGTGGAATAAAATCTTACCATCTGTACCATTAAATGAGATTCCTAAAGTTAAAAAAGAAATTATATCCGAATTACCGCATCTTAATGCAAAGGATATAAGAAGGTTAGTTAAAACATTTGCATGCAAATTTATATAAATGAAATGATTTTTTAATATTTTATGGTAAAGATACAAGATCCCATATAACGAAGCGGTTTTGCATGAATTACGAGAAGAAGGCTCGTACGAAGCAGCAGAATATTTTAAGTGTCTTTTAAATATTGACGAAGAGAGGAGAATATCAGCTGGTCGTAATACTTCGATCTGGAATGAGCCCAAATTAAAAGACAACAAGGAACTAATTGATTATCTTCTCAATTTTTTAACGAATTTCTTTCAACACACAAGTATTGAATAATATTATTATATTCAATTATGTCTAATTGTGATGAAATGGATTATGCCAATGCAAATAGATTTGTCAGTTTTTTGTTGTTTTGTTTTGTTTTGTTTTTTTTTTTTTGTTGAGAATTTATTACTTACCTGCTTTGTCAAATACTTGAACTTTATATAGATAATGATCGATAGGTAGGTATCGAAATAATAAAATAAAACGTATATAATATCGAGATAAATGAAAATTTTCAATCAACTTAAGTTCATATACAATGTATTGCCAATGCATCCGTAAGCATTGCTTTATTTTAAAAAGAGATAAAGTTCACGTTGCTCGCGACATTATATATTCTTTGAGAATATAGAATTATAAATGGTGGGAGTATAAGCGGGCCGTTATTAATTTCATTCGAATATTCATCATTTGTAAGTGATGCCATGTAAGAGATGATCTAAAGAACGGATAATATTTTTAGTTTCGGACAGTAAAAAAGCCACGGCCCTTATAAAAACAGCACTTGTAACAGAGACTTTGAGCTCGGAATGGTGGTGGATCACCGATGTCCTGTACCGCACAGCTTTTTGGATTGTCAAAGAGATCAGAGATAGCGACGAGCAGCTTCGCATGATTTCCCTTCTTCGATTTGTCTATGGAAGATTTTTGTTTCATAAAAGTCGGCCGATTTCTAAGTGGATGGGTAAGAAGGGCGTATATCTAACGACAAACGACGTTCGTTTAACGTTTCAGTGAATAACGCGAGGGCTGCTCTGGAGCACGTACGCAAGGCCCAGCGTAGCTCTCGGGAAAAGCCTTGGAGCATATCGATGGTATTAGATGTCAAACATGAGATGTTATTTATGCAATGCTGTACCTTGATGCACAAAGTGCTTTTAAGTATAGCTCGAGAAGTTTGCAATAACCAGCCGCAAGTCGCTGTCAATTCTTGCAAAGTTGCTCTTACCGCGGCCATCGAGTGTATGCGATCTTTTAGTAAAATAATTCTATCTATCGATATTAAAAAAATTGGTTAACTTCATTATTATCAAAACAGCCTCAATACTCTGAATAAAGATTCTTTACAGCTGGCCAGGAGGAACTCGTCGCCGAGGCACAGTTTGAACTTGGTAAAAGCCAAATCGCCATTAAAAATGTTAAACAAGCACTAAAGTGTTTGTATAAGAGTCTTGCGATAATGGAAAAAATTTTCGATCCAATCGGGATGTGCGAGGCTTATTCGCAACTAGCTAACGTTTATAAGGTAATATAGGTGTTTTATAGGCTATTTCGTTTATCCTAATATTAATGCTTGCATCTATTATATATATATATATTAAAAAAACTCGCCCCCCCCCTCCCCACCACCAAATATCACGTTTCAATTAGCTATTCATTTTATTATATATAACGAAAAGAACGGTCCCTGTAAACAATTTGTACAAGCCTCTTTTGATTAACGTTGCATTGCTTTTTAATATTGAAATATTTAATTATAGCACGATATTGGAATTTTTGCATTTTTCATAAAATTACTCGAATATAACGATACAAGCGACTCTGTAACAGCCGGAAATAATTCATAATTTGTAACACAAGTTATAAATATATTAAACGAGATAACCAATGCCTATCACTTTATTAAGCTACATTTTTAAGCCATCATACGAGCAATAATATTGAGTTTTTCTTTTTTCGTTTTGCCTAAATTAATAATAGGGTTGAATGAAAATGTGGTTATAGAAAATCGATTAAGTATACGTAGCTTATTTTTCGTAAAGAAGTAAAAAGAATAAAATAAATAAGACGTGTATGTATTTTAGGAAATGAATGAAGATAAAAAAGTTTTAGAGCACTTGCAAAAATTAAAAGATACAGCTACCAATTACCAATTACCTAACAAACTTGCTGAAGCTCATTACTTAGCCGGAGAATATTATTTATATCGGGTGAGATTTGTATATAATATTGTTTATTACCATGTTAAATAATGATCCCGAAATGTCGACGTTCAAATCCCATATTATATTTCGTGATAAATAGCTTTACACTTAGCCGATCGATTAAAATAATTATTTGTTATTAAGGGTAATCCGACAGAAGCGAGTCTGAATTTCGAATCTGCATTCTCATTGTACAATGGACTTGGTGCTAAAGAAACTAATCTTGTCAGGTGCTTAACAGGCGTTTCCAGAGGTATTATTTGTTATTATGATTAATTTCTTTTTTACATTTATATGATTAATAGTTGAGAGGCTCGAGTATTAAGTTTCTACACATATTAATAATTCGATTGGTTTTTTTTTATTTCTGATTACACCAATTTACATAAAAACTTATCTTAAATTTATTTGTCGGATGTTCATTACAATATTTAAATGGTATTGTACAGAATCATGACTTCTAAATAATATAAAATAAACAATACTTCTTATTTCTACTTAATAGAGAAAAAAATGCACGAGTTTTAAGGAATAAAAGTATATATTTGAGATGTAATTAAGCTACTAAACAGGTGTTGTCAAGCAATATTTAATATTCACAGTTATGTAACTTAATTACGAATTCATTCGCAAAGTATGTATTGCTTTATTACTTGTAGGTATTCTTCAACATTACCCCTACGTTATGGGCTAATAAAATTTTTCAATTTTATACTACGAATAACGTAACCGCTATAAATAATAATAATAATAATATTAATAATAATAAAAAAAAAATAAAACATAGGGACGCAATTTTAGAATATTCAACAAGTTGAAATACTTATAATCAAATGATGAAAGTAAGCAATTTTTTTGTCTTTAAGTTTGTTTAATAGTATATTGTGATTTGGGAATATACATATACTTGACAATTGTGAGACAAAATGGTTTTTCGCTTTTTACTCACGCATTGCATATTATGTCACGATCGGAAAACTACTTAAATAAAATAATGTTAACGGTACGATTAATAAATAATACGAACTGACGCATCGGCGACTCTTTACTCAATGCTTAGTATATATATATATATATATATATATATATATATATATATATATATATATATATATAT